CGCAGACAGCTCATGAATTGACCTGTCTGTCAATAACTGCTTTCCCCCGTCCTGTGGGCAAATGAGGAATTCTACCATTTTGAACCTCCAATAGATTCGGGACACACTGGGTGACGTTTCCGTCTCCTGGTCCACACATTACATCAGACGTTACATCTTACTTAAGCTTGACCTTGACCTGGACGACTGAGAGTCTTTACAGATATGTGACATCAGAACATCTCAGCACATTACATGATTTAATACAGAATGGTCCGATGTAGGGCTGCAATTTAATTATTTATTTTATTAAACCATTAATAATCAGATAGCAAAAGGTTCCTTAAAGAAGACTTTTTGGGAAACTAAACCAGGTGAAACTAAAACTTTTCCACTTGAGGGATAGAGCGGATTGACAGAAGACATTTTTTAATAAATATCAAATGCAGAGTGTTTATATACATTTATGTTTTTACATTAAATACATGTTTTAGAGTCTCTAAACTCCATTTAACGATTAACTGATTGCTAAATTGGTTTATTATGTCAATAATCGATTAATCATAATTGTTTCAGCCTTAGTCTAATGGAAGCCCGAACCCGGGGTTCATCGAACCAAACTGAAACAGGACTTCATGCAAAAGGAGCCCAGATAGTGAACAGAACATGAAGACGATGTTGGTTCTGATTGTTGTGATGTTCTAATGTTCTGAATGGGCTGGAGCAGAACTCCTCTATATCATCTACAGAGGAATCAAAAGTATTCATGTTTATTACTCCAGTATAAATCCTATTGTTAAAAAACACTTTTATAAAAGTTAGAGGATCAACTTAAACTTTTTACTCCAGTAAAAGTGTAAAAGTACCATTTTAAAACTAGTAAAGTAGGAACAATGATAACTGGATCATAACTTACTTAGACTTAATTTTCTTAGTTTTATAACAAATGGTAACAGTGTCAAATTTAACTTTGAATCTTGAAAAAAACAATTTGTTTTGGTATGTGGTGAACAACAAATTAGCACTGAGTCCAACCACAAAGAATTTAATTATCTGGATAAAACTAATTATTTTTATTTTTTAAAATACCAACAGGCCATAGTAGAAAAGGGCTTAAATAAAACAAAACAAATGAGTCTGTTTCTTAAATGTAAGGAGTAGAAGTAGAGAGTTGTCTTAACAAAAATTACTGCAGTAAAGTATCGATAGACAACATTTCTACTTACGGTAAGTAAGGGAAGGGGAGTTGATGAAGGAAGGCAGGATAATCCACTGGGCGAAGTCAATAAGCAGATCCAGGTTCAGTCCACAGAAGAGTCCAACAGAAGTCCCAGGACGGGTCAGGCAAACAGGTCAGACAGTGGCATGCAGGCTCAAAGGTCCAAATACAGAAACGGGTCAGGATGGGACAATCCGAACACAATAGAAACGCTAGAGATGTCTCAACCCCAAAGGCTCAAGAATAATCAAGTTTTTTAACCTCTCAACATCCACCTCATTTTGGGTAATTCCCGCCTATTTTGCATACCCAGGTGGAAAAGCAAATAACTGAGGAACTGTAAGCCCCAATTACATGAGTGATACATCATTTGAAAGCTAACTCACACTGAGCCTGTTTCTGCTGGAGGTTTATTAAAAGGGAGTTTTTCCTCTCCACTGTCGCTACAAGCATGCTTAGAGTGAGGGATTATA